TATGTTGACTATATCCTCAATTATTGAATGAATGGGAGTGATCTACATCTCCTGTTCATTCATAGTTATAGTAAACATACTATGTCCTCATGTTATCAATGAACAGGAACACTCAGTATAGAGGCCCCTGTTCATTGATAACTGGGGATACAGAAAAAGAGATAGAGGACTTTGTGTCCTAAATCTCTTTTTCTATTTTAAAAGGGAAATATCCGGGGTCTGTTTAGACACCTAATATTTCCCCGAAGCCCCTAAAAGTTAAGTAAAAAATAAAAATATTTAATAAAAAATTAATAAAAATAAAAAAAATAAAAAGGTCTATAAAAAATAAAGAGAAAATATTTTAAAAAATTGAAAAATAAAAACATTTTCGGTTTCAGTTTGACAATTTTTTTTATTTCGGTTTTGAAATTTCCATTTCGGTACACCTTACTTACATTCATATAAATGTTGTGAACACTAAACTAGAATATTTACAATTACTTTACATACAAAAATATCTGTACTAAAATGTACAGATTTTAAAATGTCATTTTATGTATTCAACAAATATGCCAGTTAGAGAAAACAAAATCCAGTAATGCAAGGAACACAGACAATGCATTCAATACATTTTAGGAAATAATAACTGTAATAAATACAATGCATTCAATACATAGGAAATAATAACTGTAGACGCATAAATACAAAATATTTGAGGCTTCCATTCCTGTATATTGTATTTAATAACTGCCTAATACCAAAAACGTTGAAATGGCAAATGTAAAAATTCAGTAAGCAACTTAAGTGAATTTGAGCTATTGAGAAACATCACGGAGCTCTACCCTCGTCTCCAGTACCGTCACTGGAACCTCGGTGCCCAGTACAGCTTCCGCCAGAGCCTTCACTCAACAGGTAACAAAGACACTTGTAAGGGGGTCCCATTCATTCAATACTTTATTTGCAAAAAGGCATAAAATCAGCCAACAAACAAATACTTAGCATTTGTTTGTTGGCTGTTTTTATGCCTTTTTGCAAATAAATGATTGCATGGATGGACCCCCCTTACGAATGCTGGTTTTTACCTATTAAGTGAACTTGACCCTACCTAAAAAAAATCCTAGGGTAACAACAGTGCCGAGTAGTTTCTTGGTGTTGCCTGCAAGTACGATTGCTGCCAGTCTTCAAATTGAGGCTAATTTACAAGTCAAAATGTAAGCTACACCTCTCACCTCAGTGATGAGGCCCATACCCTGTCATGCGAATGTTAAATGCCAGTGCATCACCTGGCAATAGAGGATCTGGAACTCATGGGAGTTTAAAGTATACATGGAAAAAGTTGAGGCCCTATATGCAGCCTCAGCCTAGGATTCAAGGGGCTCCCCAGAGACCAATGGACTGATTTGAAAACTAACATAACCGATTGTTACCCAAGGTGCTTTTTTCCTTGTCAGGTACATCTCTTAAAGACTCTCTGATACATGTGTTCTCCTTGCACTTGATTGGGTATTCTTTGTAAAATGGCTTTTCATCACATTCACTAAGCTAAAGGAGAAGTCCCCTGCAAATTCCCTTAAAAAGTGAATAGTCTATTTGCTTTTAGTAAATCAACCACAAAGTCTCCATGTCACACAAAGAGTTTAAAGCTAATGTTTAGTAAAAAAAAGATGTTTTTGGGGCATACAGCACCAGTGTAATACAGTAATGTACCTCTAATGATGTGTATCTTACATGTTGCTGGCTTCTGGTTATTGCAACCCACCACAACGTTGATCTTCCGGCACTGCGAGCAGGAGAGCCTGCAGCCGGTACTGTGAAGGATCTCACCGTTCTACCACCCCATCCTGTCCCCTCGCTGATTCACATAAATACTTGTATTATTTTCGCAGAATGCAGAGCATTCTGTGAATGGACGAGAGTTTTGTAAATGGGTAAAGGGAAAGGAAGGGGAGGGCAAAGAGCACATTCTGTCACAGTAACAGCCTCTCCTGCTTAGCTCTGTAGTGAGTATCCAGCATCACAGAGGGGAGGATTATTGTACTGACCAGAAGCCAGCAGAATGTAGGACATCCATCATTCATGGTACATTATTACAGAGGTGCCGTATGCCCAAAAAAACTATTACACTAACTTCAGCATCAATATTTTAAAACATTGCATTTTAAATATTCCAATATTAATTTGCTCCCAGCATTGGGGGGTATCATTCAGAAATTCCAGCTACTACATGTAATTCTAACAGAATGCGGAAATGTATTTTTACTCTTTAACATTTGCTGATCCTCCAAAACAGAAGTACATTTTGTCGGGATATTCTTGATAACTGTTAAAGTGCAGTTCCTGTGTCTTATCACGTGACTTTTGTGAGAAGCACATTTGATAAATAAGTGTAGGAATTATAGGCAAGCATCCAAAAATGTTTGAATTCTTTAACTGAGCTGTTTTCTTGATTGTCCAAGAAAACAAAAGAGGGGATACTCTTTCTTGTTTGAGGAATTTAGTTTATAGATCCAGATACTCTGAACAAGCCAGAAGGGAGTTTTTGCTTGGAAAGCCAGAGGCAGCATAAGACCTACGTAACTGCCAGATCCATAGTGAACACATGAATAGCAAAAACAAGATTTTACTCTAATACAGCGTTATTAGGCTTAAGTGCAGACCCTCGAGGTACAGTTCCTTTCTGTCATACATGGACACTAAACTATCTAGAAATGAGCCAAGCTGCGAAATGTATTAAAAATATATATTTTTTTGTAATACTTCTGCACCATACCTTTAAGATGATTATTTATTGTTTATGAAAGGAAATGGAGCTCTACAAATACCTTGGCTATAATATTCCAATGAAACAGTGCCCCCCAGTGGTTACAAGAAAAACTGCTGCATTGTTGTGCAGAAATAAGATGTAGTCTGTGTAGGGCTACAATCAATCCTACGCATTCTGGTGTGGTGCCTTAAGAACTCTGTGTGCTACATCTTTGGTTTGGCTTCTAGCAAGGTGTATTTTTCATAGAAACAAATGCTGCCACACGTATAAAGAATTGTGATGGCAACAGTTGAGAAATCCATAGGAGTGAATGTAGCCTAAGCAGAGATGATCTCTCTCAGGGTATAGGGATATACAATTTAATGAACAACTTTTTCTATTCTATATATTCAATAGAGTTATCCTATTATATTATTCCAGACAAATATGAAAAAACACCATTTAATCAAATTACATATTTTCCCATGTGAGTGTGCTTTGACATTAATGTAATCCCCTGTATAGAAGCACCATGAAAAGAAAAGGCAGCATTTTAAGTTGATCAGGATTCTTTATATAGTGCTTGCCAGTTGAACATGAAAATGTTTACAGGAGAGACACACACAGGGATCACCTCATCCATGTGCTGCTGCTGCACATTTATTGTTCAATCAGTAGGGAAGGAGAGGTGACTATGGAAGCAGATCTTGAGAAGACATTTTAAACTATAAACTATTAATTATAGCCCCATTATTGTGATTTCAAGGGGAGAATGGTGTGTTAATGGTGCACAGAAAGAAGGTTTGCAGCAGAGAATATATATTATAATTAATCTGTACCTGGAGTTCAGCTTTAATTTTAGAAAATAAAATCTAATTAAAATTGTACTTTAGCCCCAAATCAGAATTTGCAATTGTCTGAATCTTCACTCTTGCATTGTTTTTATAGCACTGCCTCACTTCATGGGGACAGCTGTGTTCTCTGTTAGTTACTTGTACTCGCTCCCTCTCAGTGCAGAAGTGTAACTCAGGAGTGAGATTCCCCACAGAGGCTGTCTGTATCTCCTGCCTCAGCTTAGCACTTATAACCAACATACAAAAAGTGTCAAATGGCAGTTACTGTGAGGATCACAGGCAAGAAAATTAAAGAATTTGAGCTGTCGCTATAGCAGTCTGCAGGAAATACCATAGTCACTGTGGAACTTCTATCCCCATACTTCTTCTCAGAGGGCCAGAACACTAATAAATATTAGGACACAGATTTTCCTGACTGGTAAGGCTACACTATAACAATTTATTACAGGAGATTCAGATTATTATAAATGGACACCGACTGGTTCTGTTTATTGTGAATGTGAGAAAATACTGAAAAGGGTACAACCACACAGAAGAAAAAATAACTTTTTTTTTATTTTTGTGTTTACAGCTTTCTTAAATTTATTGTAGAAATGTATATTTCAGAGTGCAGCGGGATGAAAATAATCATTCCCAGCCAAAACATTTTCAGGTTTTTTTCCATTAAAAGCATTTAAAGTGACATTAAACCCTCAGATTTTTTTAACATAAAACAATACTGTAATGTGTGCCTTACTGTAATCCATGGTTGTTTTCCTTCTCTTTGCTGCTCTTCCTTTTAAATCTGTATCTCTTTTCATGCTGGGCAGAACTTCTGTTTTGCAGCAGACTGCCTTGTCTCTGAAATGGATACATGGTGTCTGTGTGCAGGTTCACAACCTGAGCCAGCACTACAGGAAGAGGCACTCAGCTGCAAAGGGAAGTTCTCCCCCAGCATGCGAAGAGATACAGATTTAAATGGAAGAGCAGCAAAGAGAAGGGAAACTACCATGGATTACAGTAAGGCACACATTACAGTATTGGTTTATGTTAAAAATCTGAGGGTTTAATGTCACTTTAAGCCAACAATGAATGTATCATTTGCTTAAGCAGTTCATTATATTAAATACAACATTTTAGTACTACATTTCAGACTCGTGAGCAAAAAGGAAATGATGTGTGAACTGCAGTAACCCATAGGAACCAATTATAAGGGATCCTTAAACTGACCTGCATACCGCAAGCTGAAAATTTCTTTGCATTGTCCCACTGTGCATCCCTGTTACTTCTTATATCTAAATATGGTTCCGTCACACATAGTAAAATCACCTGCTCTTTTTTCTTTTTTTTTTTATCTGTGACAACATAATGGCAGTAATGTGAATTACCAGGAAAAGTGGAAGTTCAGGGTTAAAAAAAAGAAAAGAAAGTTTCTAATGTACATATGTAAATAATTATGGACATAACGGTATATTATTTTGGTAAAACGTGGCAAACATATATACAAAGGCAAATCAGGCAACTGGTGTATTGGTACTTGTGCAGTACGCAGAATCTGCTTTGTAGATGGAGAACCAAAATCCTTCTGTTATTCTTCAGGATCATAGCCCTCTTCATCTCTCCGATCCCGGAATTTCATGTAGGAATCTCCCTCAGGGTTGAAAGGTCCCATCTTAATATTAAGCTTCTCAAATAGTTTTTGAGCTGAAAGCTTGGCCTGTTTTTCCTGTAGATATAAAAATCGAACATTAAAATGAAAGTCACAAACCCAACATGATCATTTTTGAATGTAGTGCTTTTGTTGCTATTATTTCCCCATGCCATCATCTAAACACCTCACCACGCAAGACAGTGATCACAAACTGGCAGCTTAAATAATGCATTAGACAAAACTGATATCACTTTGGGGTGTATGTTGTCTACATACAGAAACTGTATTTATTATCCGTACTGTATTTTTAGACAGTAACTTTATATAAAATTATCATTACATTTCCCAATTTGTTATGGACAGTGGTCTGTACCAACTGAGGGGCTTGTCCATAGAGACACACGGCACACTGGGAGTCACCGATCAGGTGGTCTGTCACCTAATTGGGCACAGTGCCAGTCAGGAGAGGTGAAAGCCAGAGATGTGACCCAGTGCTGGATCCCAGGAGAGCTGAGCATTACACAGATGTTTAGAAAGTACTGGCTATGGGGGATTGAAGTAAACTAATTTACAGCTACAGGTAGCATGTTATCTTACCTATTATGCCTTTACATATTTGTATGCTGTATTTAGAAAATTGGCCCATGAGCACTATTATAAAGTTGGTTGTTTCTTAAAAGAACTATGGGGTCAGTGCTTTTCCCCATAGTTCTCCTTAGGGTAACGGGAGGACACAAACTAGCGTCCTCCGGTTACCCTAAGCTCAGTATACCGCGAGCTACAGCTCGCGGTATACTGAGACGCCGGAGCGGATCCCGACATCGATGTCGAGATCCGCCCAGCTACGTGAGTGACAGCTGGCTCTGCCTATCTAGAGGCAGAGCCAGCTGTACCCGCCCCCTCCCCCGTCCGTTCAGCCAGTCAGCGCTGGCGGATCGGAGCTTCCCGTGCCGTCAGTCAGCGCTGGCAGATCGGAGCGGGGAGGGGGGAATCCAGCCCCTCCCCTGTCACGGCAGAGAGCCGTGACAGGATCAAGAAGTCAGCGAACACCGGCATGTGTTCGCTGACTTCCCGATCTACTGAGCCGACCTGTGACAGTCTCATTGTCACAGGTCGGCTAGAACTATGAGGTGAGTGAAAAGCACTCACCTCATAGTTCTCCTTTAATGTCCAGCCAAGAGGGAGGACCGAATGTTACTTCAGCATGTTGCAGGTGACTGTTTGGGCTGCACCAGCTAGTTTACTTGTGTAGCAGGTACCCCATGCATGCACAGCTGCTCTATTCATCCAGAGTAACTCAGCATACTTTGTAGACATTGTTGGGTGACATTGCTGGAGCAGACACTTGTACATTATCTCATCATGTATAATGATGCCTGTTGTCCTGAAGACTGAAGGAGGACCAACTGTATAGTGGTGTTGGTGGATCATCTCTGAGGGGGCACAAGTGCTATCCAAAATTTGGATTACAAATTAAATAACACAATTATGTGTATAGTGAACTATACACAAAGGAAGTGAGCTCAGACACCACTCATGGCTGTGCATTAGGAGAGTTGCAATATGGATTGGGTCTCCTTTAAGGCTACAAAGAACTGTCCAGTGCCTGCAAACCACAATCCATTTTTAACTGTGCTTACAGATAAAGGTGATACACTTGAACAAATGACGCATAAAGTGGCATGGTATATTCAGTTTCATAATCCAAATGATTGAAAATGCAGATTTGTTATATGGAAAAAGTAAGTACACCTCTATATTTACCACAACTTCATGAAATTAGAATCCAGTGTCCCATATTAGATGCCAATAATCAGAATCTCCTTAGGAAGTATGCAGGTGGAACCTGTCTTATTTAGACCTCAAAAGTCCAAGGGAGGAAGGGGCTGCATGGTCCCGAAACCTTGCTAGAGGTGTTTTCACTTGGGCCAATAAACTTATTGACTTGAATACTTGGAGTGCCGGTGACTTTATTATTTTGTATTATTTTGTTATTTAGACCTCAGGTATCTAGGTGCTGATGATCTCTTCGCTATTGACATGTGTGGTCATCATGCCAAGATCAATAGAGCCCTCTAAGGCCCTCAGAAAGAAAGTTGTGTATGCCTATGAGACTGGCAAGAGATTTTAAGGGTTACCAAATGATCTGAAATCAATCAATCTACTGCAAGGAAATAAATCTACAAGTGGTGTAGATTTTTTTTTTAAAACTGCTCTTTATCCAGGGATGGCTTTTCCATTAAACTGAGCCCCAAAAACTGACTAATGTTAAAATGTCTCCAAGAACCCCAAAATCTTATTGAAGGGTGTTCAGGCAGCTCTTGCTACAGTTGGGGTCAACGTGCATGCATCTACAATTAGAAAGAGACTGCACCAATGCAACCTGCATGTGGGGTGTGCCAATGGGAAAAAAAAGTCTTTGCTGTCCAAAAAGAACATTAGAACCAGATTACAGTTTGCCATTGGACATTTAGGCAAAAGCCAGGCCTTCTGGAAAAAGGGCTGAAGTCTGGTCAAACCAAGATAAAGAGTTGTTTGGTCACAGTAACCCTGGTCATGTTTGCCACAAACAGATGACAGTATTTCAGGAGGATGATCTCAACTGTGAAGCACGGTGATGAAACTGTTATAGTTTGCAGTTGCTTTGCTGCTTTAAATATGCATTATGCATCATATCAAAGTATGCTTGATGAAAATGTGAGGCCATCAGCCTGAAAGTTGAAGCTAAACTGGAAACAAGTCTTTCAACACAATAATGATCCGAAGCACACTATTAAATCCACTTAGGAATCAGGAATAGCTCAAAAACAAGAGATAGAGAAGGATTGCTCTAGTTAAAGGTCTGATTTGTTACCTATTGACATTTTTACACAAGGAAACCCACAAGCATTTTGCAAATAACATTTTGCATGGAGTAGTCAAAAATCTCACAATTTAAGAACAATTATACAAAATGCCTATAAGAAGTAATTTCTGTTAAAAGGAGTCAAAACCAGCTTTTGATGCCATGGGTGTACTTACTTTTTCCACAGTACACCATTACATCTATTTATATTTTGGTTGAATAAATTATTATAAAAGGCAATTGTATCTTGTGTCTTTATTCAAGTATATCACCGTTATCTATAGGCACTGTTTGACCAAAGACCTAACGTTTGCCTTTTCAAATATGTTGAAAAAGTCCACAACATCTATGGGGTGTACTTATTTTTTTCACATGACTAACTGTAGAACTTGCAGAGAAGCCAGTGCAGGGATGACTCACTCATTCTACTGTGGATCTGGAGATCCACAGTGTGTTCTGTGTGTTCTTTCCACCTAGCTATTGAACTTACACTGTGAGAACTATTCAACAAAAATGAAGAGGCTCCAAACCGAGTGGTGGCAGTGTGTGCCTGACTGTTCTGTCCGTTATCTGCATTTTATAAATCAGCAACACACCAATAGCAAACTTGGTGCAGGACTCTGCCTCTATCCTCCACTAGGACTATATTAATATTAGCTTTTAGGTCAGGCAACTGTAGCCCACTCTTGGTGGATTCTCCAGTTCCTCCTAATGAGAAAAAGGCAGTGCATTTAAGTGACATTAAAGTCAAAGATTTTTTTCCCTCCCCCAATGTTAATGTCAGCACTTACCTAAAATGATGTTTATTGATCCGATCATCTTCTTCTTTTTCTTTCCTGTCCTTTTCAGCCTTCTCTCCAGCGCTGCTGCGGGTCTCTGATCCAGCGCTGACTCCTCTGCCCTTGCTGTCCCATATATTTTTGCATATATCTACTGTTTGCTAGCCGTAGATATATGCAAAAACACTGGAGGGTTTAATAACCCTTTAAGTAAATTCCATGCAGCCTAAACCCTGTTCAAAAACCATACGGTCTCATCTTCAGTGGGCCCAAGAGGGAAAGTACATTTGAAAACTGTACAAATTACTATACTTGCCATACAGCTAACTAAATTACTTTATATAAGCAACACATGACAGGTTTGAATCGTAGGATAGGGAATACGATCAGTATACTGTTGAAGTCAAGATCTAATCTTAGCCATGGAGCAATGTTGTGAGATCTTTAACCACTTCAAGACCTATATTCTACCTATTGCATTTCCTTTTAGACAATCCCCTTTTCTTTAAGGCAGCACTAGAAAAATCAAGCACACAGCAGACAGAAGTATAAATCACACATTCTACAAAAACAGAACAGTTAGTTGACAAGAAAATGTATGTTGTTTAGAACAGAGAAAAAAAATATGATAAAAGAGGTATTGTTTAGTACATGGAGGGGTCTACTGACATACTACACAAAATGCAAAGGAGAGACCGTGTCTAATGCACTATATTATCCAATGTGACTTATTTGTTGCTTGATATACTTACAAATGGTTGCTTTCACATACTGTACCCAGTGTGCCTATGCTTTCCATTTCAAACATAACTTACCTCATAAGTCTTGTTCTGTTTTATCTGCAGAGTCAGAGATTCCGCGAGAGGTAGTAACAGGGCTGGAGAGTAATGGAGTGGTGGAAGTCTAGCTGCAGTGATGTCATCCAGATGTTTCCTGTCCTGAGCTCTTCTCTCTTCCGCAGGCAGCCTAAGTACCCTCTCTCCTGGTGACTGATTGGGGGATGAGCAATTGGAGCCTGACGGCAACCTGAAAATAAATATGACAATTACTCGGCTGACTAATAGGCTTAATGGCTTTCTGTGAAAGATCAAAATTTCACTCATTAAAATGTATTAAAATGCTTTATTGAAAATACAGGTCACCCAGCTCAATGTGCTCATTAAAACGACATGGCTTTTCCAAAACAGAAATCCACTCTAATAGATGAGGCCCGTCGTCTTTGAAGAACCAGAGCCTTACCCATCCATAACTTTACAACTCTGCATGAATTAATTCATTGGAAAAAAATCGGCTTCTTGTTTTTTTAAAAACAATCCTTGAGCTCCAGTCAAAGGACAGGAACAGTCTCTAAAGGTCGTTCAAGGGGAATGACATCATCAGTCTTCTGCAAGCTGGAACAAGCTTTTCTTTAGTCTGACCTCCTCCAGTGATTGCTCTGTACCCTGCCGTGTTCAGGCAGCAGGGGTGCTCATCTATGGGAGACTTGATGGATTTTAAACTGGCTGCTCCTAGGATGAGACCAGAAGTGAGACTGAAGCTGCCCATACACCTTACAACCATCGCACGGCTTTCGTTGTGCGATGGTTGTAAGGAGATTAAAATTTTGTACGATCTGCCAATCTTGGACAGGCAGATCGTACTTGCGATCATCACAAGCCCTCCCCGCCGAGGGGAGGGCTTCCGATGATTGCAGTGCTGAGCGGGCAGTGTGCGCTTGCGCACCGCGGCCCGTGCGGCATTCAACTTCCGACCACGCCAGCAACCCACCGAAAATCGGACGATTTTCGCCGGGTTGTGCTAGCATGGTCGGAAGCCGAATTTTGGCGGGATTTCAAGCGTGTTCGTAAGAGGAAAGTCGTACGCTGTCCATACACCTGCCGAGTATCGTACGATCGCGCAATCCCCCCCGATTATCGTACGATAATCGGCAGGTGTATGGCCACCTTTAGAAGCGCAAAGGTGATTTTTCCAGTCATGGATCAATAAGTATCAGTTGTGGGGGCTAAGCTGCGAGACAAAAATATATAGACATCGGGGTTTACTTTATTGTGTCATTTCTGGACCAACATCTTTGTCTATGAAGTCGATGCTGACCCTGGATGATACAGAAATGACTCTGCGCTCAAAGCGAGAAAGGAAGAAGAATATGTTAGGGGGAATACTATTTATTTGTATGCAACAGATACCTGTAACTGCTATCACATATTGTATGCCATCAACACACTCAAGACAACAAATACATCTGATGGCAGAACTACTTTAAGGATCTATGGTACTTCTGACCTTTGCATTTAAATACCTCTGTATTCTAAAAAAAAAAAAACAGTGGTGCGGTGGATGCGTATTTCTGATGTTCTGTTTATGAACAGCGCTACAGAAAATACAATTGGGTAGTCAGTGCACCCGTAAAATGGCTTTGATCTGAGCTGTCATTGGACAGCTGAAATCACAATCATTGTGTATAGAGCCAAATTAGAGTGGATCTATACCTAGTATTGCAAAGTCTAAACAGTAAACATTCACGATAGAGGAAGTTCTCCTTTGTGAATGGTGGTTTAAAGCCCATTTCCACATTTGCAGAGATATAAAAAAAAAAAAATATGCCAGGTATATGCAGTTGATGTATATGAACACTTTTTCGTGTCCTCTTCATGGCTCCTTTTGAAATGGCTGCCTCTGTGCTCTACAAGCAGTTTGTGTAAATTAACACTCTCTCTCTGAGCTCTCTTCCCCTATTCATTAGTATTCATAGTGGCAACCTCCCCCACCCCCCAGCAGTGTGTTGTGACCTGGAAAGGCAGAGCTGCTGTGCAGTGACCTTGTTACAAAGACTCACAGGGAGGGGTCAGCTGCTTTACAATCCAACCTTGGTGTCGGACTGAGTTTCCTGTGGAAAAAAATTTTAAACTTGTAGGACTCAGACCTACTAAAACTTGTTGGAAATGCAACAGAATAATATACTGATATACCGTGTTTCCCCGAAAATAAGACACTGTCTTATATTGTTTTTGGCTCCAAAAAAAAAAAAAAACTAGGTCTTATTTTCGGGGGTAGGTCTTATTTATTTTTTTTAATGTATAACAATCCAAAGTTAATGCAAATCCAAATTAAATAATCCAAAATGGCGAAGCGCGCTTTCATTGATTCCTCACAGGCGGAGTGCATTTGGTATCACTCCGCCTATGACAGGAGCCGGCGCTACAGAGCAAACATCGGCTTATGCGGCTCTGCTTCCTGTGCTGCCGCCTCACTTCCTCTATCGCCGGCTTCGTTGGCACCACTGATTCTCTCCCGCAGCTCTTCAAGTTCCCCTTATGCCACCACCAGCCCTGGGAATGGTCACAACTAGGTCTTATTTTCGGGGTAGGTCTTATATTTTAGCAATTCCCAAAAATGGTACTAGGTCTTAATTTCGGGGTAGGTCTTATTTTCAGGGAAACAGGGCACTAATATGTCTTTTGAGCTGTAGATGGCAGTATAGTGCAATCTCTAGGTTCATGCTTATCTATGATACACAGGAAGTTCTTTTCTTACTCTATGTTTTCTCTACAATGTCATACTCATACATGTAATGCTCTTCAAAGCAAGTAAAACTTAATTCAAAATTCTTCAAGATCCCAGTGCTTCATCTAAACACATAACCAACACAAATTCCATAAAAATGAAGAAAGCTTGCAATGTGAGTCATGAAAATGTATACACATCACTGCACCTCGACATTGCCACAATACATGCTAATCACTAACAAAAAGGTAGAAATAGGCTTTAAAGTTCCACTAACCACCAATGATTGCGGGATCATTTATTTATAACCAGTCCAGACCTCGTATATAAAAGTCTTAGAAAAACATTTATTCACTAAATTGTTGTATACATAATTTAGAACCAAAAAATAATAAAGTACAAAATCATGTCATCAATAAAAATATATATCATTAATAAAAATACATATTGAATATGCAGGTTCACCGTTAGGTGACAATACTGTGCGGTTACGAGATATGCGGTAACTTATTTTCAGATGATGTAAACGCTCCTATAGGTCCCTATAGGTCCCGTGCGGTTACGAGATATAGGGACCTATAGGAGCGTTTACATCATCTGAAAATAAGTTACGGTGAACCTGCATATTCAATATGTATTGTCATCTAACGGTGAACCTGCATATTCAATATGTATTTTTATTAATGATATATATTTTTATTGATGACATGATTTTGTACTTTATTTTTTGGTTCTAAATTATGTATACAACAATTTAGTGAATAAATGTTTTTCTAAGACTTTTATATACGAGGTCTGGACTGGTTTCTAAAAAGCCCCCTTTTTTCTCCCCACTGGGTCCTTGCACAGCCCACTGCGGAAACAATCTGTTCCTTTGTATTTATATGTTTATAAAAACAAAATCATACATTAAAACAGAGATGTACAAACCCCAGGAGCTCCGTGTGCTCCTTACACATGACAGCTGCCTCCTAGCTTTTGAATTTTTTTCTAGTCTAGTCTTGGAGCTCGAAAAATATCTGTACTTGTACCGAGTACTGTACTTGGTATCGGTGCATCCTTATTTATTTATGTAAGCAAACTCACATTTTTGGGGGGTTTTCTTTTGATATTAAATATTTGCAATAGTCTGTTTCACTTTTGGGGTGCTATAGGGGGCCTTTGCACGCTGAAGAGAGATGTTTTTGTACGGTCCTGTATTGCACAAGAAGTACTTTTATATTCCTAAGATTATGCCATTTATGAAGACATCACAATTCATTTTACTTCAGACCCTATAAAATAATTAAAGATATGCAACTATAAACTTTCCATTTCACTATATCGCACACCACACTTTTTTTTTTTACTTCCACCGCTCCAAGCTTGCTCCTGTGATGGACTGCAATCTCAATACAAACTAGTAGTCCATTACTGGAGCCATTTTTTAAAATGTATTTTATTGTTTATCCGATTAACCGATTAATCGAACTTAATAATCGGCTAACTAATCGATTTTGAAAATAATCGTTAGCTGCAGCTCTAATTCCTATTATGTTGTAAAACGTCAGTTAACATTAGAAGGTATCCCAAATTCTACGGCTTGAAGACCTTCATTAGAAGTTATCCCAGATGCTGTGGCTTTAAGATCTTGGTGCCCAACCTGCGGACATTTATATATTTTTCAGTGATATATCAGCCTTTAAGTTAATATACCTGTTTGTTCTGAATTTTTCCCTTTTATAAACCGGGCTCCTCGACCTATTCTCTACAACTTCAAGGTAATGTGACTGTTTCAAGGGGTGTGAAGGGTTTTCTGGTTGATTCGATGTCGATGAACCCTCACTTCCCCTCTCTGTACGATCATTAATGCTGACCATCTTCAAGCTATCTGCCAAATCATCAGCTGTACCAGCATAGTTCTTAGCAGTCTTTTGATTCCCATCCTCCTGTACTGGGGGGCGGCCTGCATGTACATTCGGTTTATGGCTTATTTCAGATACAGTATCTGCTGTAAAAGGCGAGACATTTGTATCCACATCATATTTGTCTTTTTCATGTAATGTGTCCTTTGATAACGAAGGGTTACTTGTGTCCTTAGAAAGTTTATTCTCTGTTGTAGATGAATTTGTCGCTGGCAATGAAGGATTTTCTGTATCCATATTAGTTTTACGTTGTGTTTCAGATGAGGCAGCCACTGCATCTGTATTAGGTTGGTTAATTGTTTCAGATACATTAGCAGTACTGTTTGAGCTTAAAAGAGTCCCGGCTGGTAATGCCAATGTCTTCTTATCCACCGGCCAGGCTATTTGGGTTTTCTCTTTGACTTCATTCTGCTTTTCTTCAAATTCCAGTCTGAATGTGGAAAGTAAATCTCTTGTCTTTTTTGACCTTTTATGTTCTGCAATTGCAGCTCTCACTTTTTCTGCGTAATCCAGAATCTTTTTTCCGCGGTCCGGCAACCTGGCAGTAAATTTCCTGCAGAAAGAAAGTTGAAATTAATGACACGGACAACACTGATTGCATTGAAGGTTTCTAGCATTCTCCATATCATATGTAGTCTTCACATAATCACATAGATTCTCTCTTTAGCAATTTTGCTATTTGTTTTAACTAAAAATGTGTTCTGCAAAATTATCTTCTGATTGTTTTCAAGCAACTGAAAAATTGTATTTGTATTTTAAAGGGTATGTGTGAACATAACCTGGAACTTAACTTATAGATTCAATACAATGCTAACAGGTACTGTGCACTATTGTCTACTGGGTCTTCTCTAGCCCCTTTTTTTCATGTTTGTTCATCCTTTTAGGACAGGGCTGGGCAAATCCCAGAAGCCAGGAAGGCAATGCTCCTTAAAAAATTACAGCTGGCACCTTCATTTTAAGGTTTTTTTTTCTCTAAGGATGTTCACATACCAAGTACCGCACTTGGTACAAGTACTGATACTTTTCCAGCTCAGTGACTACAAGCGTGGTAGGTTGCCACCTGTGTTACTAGACTATAGAAAAACTCAAAAGTTAGGAGGCAGCTGTCATTTTTAAGGAGCATTGGTGAAGGGGCTCCTGGGATTTGTGCATCCCTGCTTTAATATACATTATATTGCCAAAAGTATTGGGACACCCCTCCAAATCATTGGATACAGGTGTTCCAATCACTTCCATGGCCAGAGGTGTATAAAATCAAGCACCTAGGCATGCAGACGCTTCTACAAACATTTGTGAAAGAATGGGTCGCTCTCAGGAGCTCAGTGACTACAAGCGTGGTACCGTGATAGGTTGCCACCTGTGCAATAAGTCCATCTGTTCATTTTCCTTGCTACTAAATATTCCACGGTCAACTGTTAGTAGTATTATAACAAAGTGGAAGCAACTGGGAACAAAGGCCACTCAGCCACAAAGTGGTAGGCCACGTAGAATGACAGAGCGGGGTCAGCACATGCTGAAGTTCACAGTGCGCAGAAGTCATCAACTGTCTGCAGAGTCAATACCTACAGACCTCCAAACTTCAGGTTGACTTCAGATTGGCACAACAGTGCGTAGAGAGCTTCATGGAATGGGTTTCCATGGCTGAGCATCTGCATCCAAGGCTTACATCATCAAGTGCAATGCAAAGCGTCAGAAGCAGTTTGGGGATGGCCCCTTCCTGTTCCAATAGGACTGCGCACTAGTGCACAAAGCAAGGTCCATAAAGACGTGGATGAGCGAGTTTGGAGTGATGGAACTTGACTGGCCTGCACAGAGTCCTGACCTCAACCCGATAGAACACCTTTGGGATGAATTAGAGCTGAGACTGCGAGCCAGGCCTTCTCGTCCAACATCAGTACCTGACCTTACAAATGCTCTTCTGGAAGAATGGTCAAACATTCCCATAGACACACTCCTAAACCTTGTGGACGCCTTCCCAGAAGAGTTGAAGCTGTTATAGCTGCAAAGGGCGGGCCAACTCAATATTGAACCCAAGGACTAAGACTGGGATGCCATTAAAGTTCATGTGCGTGTAAAGGCCGGTGTCCCAATACAAGTACAAGTACCAATACCTGTCTAAGAATTCAAAGATACCAATCACTGATACATTTTTTGTTTAGTGTGACAGTTTCTCTAAAACAATACAGACTAATCATTTCAGGACAGCGATGTAGAGCCAGGGCCCCGTCACAGCTGCAACCGCTACAACCCTGGTAGTTCTTGTGAAAATGCCAAGTATTGGCACTGGTATCTGAACTAGTTTTTTTCTAGTTGTCATTAAAGCTGGCTCCTAAGAACAATCCTGCTGGCTTGGGTAGTCTGGCTCCTGAATTCCATAATATGTGCCTACCCCTGTTTTAGGGTTACTGATGACTAGCCCACCATTTGGGTTAGGTTGGTTATTGTTTATATGTCTGCCTCTCTGGGAAATGCTTGCACACTGGAATGATCCACCAGACCATAGCTATATATAAAAAGGAAACATTTAGCACACAATGGTGCATTGCGACAATGTTATTTGGTACCATCCGTCAGATTTCTTTTCTATCACTATTATGGGATACTCTAGCAGTGTATTATTCTTTCTAAAGGGAATTAGTAAAGAGCATCCTACTTTAAATGAAAAAAAAAGAAAACAATTTGTAAACCGCACATTTATAAAGCACAAAAAACGAGTGCTGGATCCAGCAGGACACTACACCTTCGAATGTATGAGTGGGGAAACAAAATAGGGAGGAGAGCCCAGTCAGGTGGCCTGTGACATCATCAGTTCTTCTTCAATAACAGAGCTTTCTCTGCTGTGCTAAGCAGAGACAATACCATGGGGCACTGTGACCTGCATTTTATGAATGGGCCATAAAATGCAGGCTGCAATGTGTGTAACCTAGCTAAGTATAACACAGTGGATAGTTATATCTGCTCTTCATTATGAATCGTCCACTTGCCATTCACCTTACGCTTTTACATTGGACCTAGAAAGAAACTCTACTAATAACATTCATTTCTGCCTCCATTCACACAGAACAAAATGCACATGCAGCTTCCCAGGAGAGGATCTGTGCAGATTCCCTTCTGATCACAGCAGTACAGAGAAAATGTCACCGCTGTGACATCTGTGTGCATGCAGTTTTTTTTCCTCCAAACTGCAATTACTGGACTCCATGTCAGTCTATGGGGAGTCAGATGTAACCAGACATGTGTCCATTTACATCAGATTACCCCCAATCTGGCACGCTCAGGTACGGCAAAACGGATCTCTCATCCATTTGTTTTGCCGGACCTGGCGGGAGTCAGGGGCAACCGGGTCTGTCCCTTTACTCACGGCTTACATTGGGCATCTAATCGGGTCCACCTTAAAAACTGACAGGCAGACCTGATCGGAACCGCCATGTGAAAGGGGCCTAATACAATCAGGAAATAAAGTGTCCCTGTCCTCCTTTTCAGGAACTTGGGAGGTTAGAAGTTCAGGTACAAGAGAGAGAGAAGCATCAATTCACCAAAATAAAACAGGTGTGTGTGTGTGTGTGTGTGCGCGCGCTGCATGAATATATGGTATGTGTGTTGTGCACTGTGCTGTGTATGTATACATTGAGGGGAATTTATCAAATCTGGAGCAGTTGTGCATGGCAACCAGTCAGCTTCTATTTTCCATTTTCAAAGCTTAACTGAACAAACTAAAGAGAGAATCTGATTGGTTACTATGGACAAATGCCCCAGATGCCGTCTGTTCCAGTTTTGATAAATTTCCACCATTATATATGTGTGTGCTGTGTATGTATACACTGTGTATGTGTGTTGAGTGTGTGTGCTGTGTATGTACCGTGTTTCCCCGAAAATAAGACACTGTCTTATATTTTTTTTGCCTCAAAAAAACACACTAGTTCGTATCCAAAGTTATCTGGTATCACTCCGCCTGTCACAGTAACTAGCGCTATAGAGGAAGTATTGGCTAATGCGGCTCTGCTCACTCCGCCACCGCAGCAGCATGCTTTCTACAGCGCCGGCTTCTTTTGCCATCAGGGACAGTGGTACCAGCAGTGGGGACATCAGACAGCGTGGTAAAATACGGTACCATTTACCGGTACACAGTACCATTACATTAAGCAGTGCCTTCAGGGGGACAGCAGTTGGTGAAGTATGGTACTGGAGTGCTCCCTGTCACAGCGCTGGGCGGAGGGAGTCTCCTGTCATACCCTTAATACAGTATGTCCCTGCAGGCTGATACCATCTCTCCTGCAAGTTCCCCCTCACATGCTACCACCAAACTAGGTCTTATTTTCGGGGTAGGTCTTATATTACAGGAATCTTGAAAAATAGTGCTAGGTCTTACTTTCAGGGTAGGCCTTATTTTCGGGGAAACAGGGTATACACCGTGTATTGAGTGTGTGTATGTATACAGTGTGCTGTGTATGTATACACCGTGTATTGAGTGTGTGTATGTATACAGTGTGCTGTGTATGTATACACCGTGTATTGAGTGTGTGTATGTATACAGTGTATGTGTGCTGTGTATGTATACACTGTGTATTGAGGCTGTGTATGTATACACTGTGTGTGTGTGTGTGCTGTGTATGTATACAATGTGTATTGAAGTTTTGTATGTGTGTTGAGTGTGTGCTGTGTATGTATACACTGGGGGGAATTTATCAAAACTGGAGCATACAAAATCTGGAGCAGTTGTGCATGGCAACCAATCAGCATCTTTCATTTTTAAATCTTAACTGAACAAACTGAAGAAAGAAACTGACTGGTTGCCATGCACAGCTGCTCCAGATTTTGATAAATTCCCCCCACTGTGTATTGAGTGTGTATGTATACACTGTGTGTGTGTGCTGTGTATGTATACACTGTGTGTGTGTGCATGTTTACACTGTGTATTGAGCGTGTGTATGCATACATTGTGTATTGAGTGTGTGCATGTATACACTGTGTGTGCTGTGTATGTATACACTGTGTATTGAGTGTGTGTGTGTGTGTGTATACACTGTGTATTGAGTGTGTGTGTGTGCTGTGTATGTATACACTGTGTATTAAGTGTGTGTGTGCTGTGTATGTATACACTGTGTATTGAGTGTGTGTGCTGTGTATGTATACACTGTGTGTGTGTTTGCTGTGTATGTATACACTGTTTATTGTGTGCTGTGTATGTATACACTGTGTGTGTGTGTGTGTGTGTGTGTGTGTGCTGTGTATGTATACACTGTGTGTGTGTGCTGTGTATGTATACACTGTGTATTGAATGTGTGTATACACTGTGTGTGTTGTGTATGTATACACTGTGTATGTGTGCTGTGTATGTATGTATACACTGTGTATTGAGTGTGTGTATGGAGTGTGTGTATGTAGACAGTGTGTGTTATGACAGCTCGCCCCCGTCCAGTCTTACGAATTGCTCAGTATCTTCTCCTGTCTCTCCAGGATCTCCATCAGCTCCTCCACACTCTTCCCTCGTACATCCCCCACCGCCCCGGCCTTCCCAACATCTGTGGCCGAACTCATCGTGTCCCCCCGGCCCGCCAACTGAATATTCACATCCGCACTGCTCCGCTCCGGGAGCTGCCATGACAAAACGTCACATTCAAAACGGAAAAACTTTATTCACAAATACCGCTGCTAACAAGACACTAAGAACTCACAGCTTTAGGAACTGTTTTGGTATAGACAGGATGAGTCGCCTCCATACGGCTATGCATGGGAAATACAGCAGGCCAACAATTCTAGTCTTTCTAGTCCATGCGGGTGTAATAGAGCAATGTGCGTGTTCTTGCATGTTATCACTGCGCATGCGTGCCCCGAGTCCGGCGAACCTGTGCTCTGTATCGTGAGTAGTGCATTGTATGTGAGATCTTCGGATGGGATATCAGTGCTGGACAATTCGACCAGTGTGTGGCCCTGTTGGCAGTGGCGTCACAAGGGGGCGCGGCCCGCACCCTGGTGCCACCACTGGAGGGGTGACACCAAAATGAATGAAAGTCATTTTGGTGTCACCCCCTATGAAAAGTCGGGCACTCGGTCACAGACCGAGAGGCCAACAGTGTCAGGAGAGAGGAGGGGACCCGGCGGCATACCTCATCCCGCCAGGTGAACGCCCCCTCCTCTCTCTGCCGGCGTCCACCAGAAAGATTGCTGCCGGCAGGCGTCAATAATGCAAATGCACACGCGCAATTACGTCATCACAAGCATGCGGGGCTGTCACCCGGTCTCCGCCCCCGGGTGACACCCAGCCTCAGGACGCCCCTGCCTGTTGGTGCTCCTCTGTACGACAAAAGACGATCTTTCAATCCACTTTTGACGAAGGAGCCTGTCCAAAAAATCCTGGGCCAAGCCGTAACTTCTGCTAATCAGCCGCAGTCATTGTTCCGGTATTCTGACAGTCGGATTCTCCAATCCACACCGTTTAGTTTGGATGGGGAAATGTATCTTTTTTTTACAATGAAATACAAATAGTGTATGACCGGCCTTATTCACGTATCTGTGGTAGGGTCAGCATAGACATTACAATGTCTGTACACTTAACTTTATCATAACTATGTAATATGAGGGCCTCCCTGACCCATCTAATCAAATTGCATCCAATCAGACAGGCCCTTATATTACATAGTTGGTGGTAGATATAAAGGAGATTGTACAATTAGTTTGAGGCCAGGGAATGTGATTGGTAGTTGTAAAGCAGCGTCCACCTATGGGGTGAATCCTCATCTCCATATTGATCCCTTGAAGTGGTAATGTGGCAAATGGCAGAACGTGTGACTCATCTAGATGGTGGTAAGGTGTACTGTATATGAATCTGTCACACCTCTGACAGAACTGTCGCAGACCTCTCTCCTGTGATTGGTCGAGTTTTCTAGGAAGAGGTGCTGTTTGGAGAAGTCGGGAGGATAATGGAAACATATCAACTATCTATTCCAGAGGGACTTTACCCACCAATGTGATGTCTCCCAAAACAGTCAGAGTTCATTCAACACTATCCTGTCCGCAGAAACGCAGCATTTTAGCGGGTGGGCTAGTGCATTGTGACAGTTCCAGTTGTGTGCATTGTATCACACACTGCTGGAGCTGTCACTGTTTACATTTTTTTTAAACTTTATGTGAAGTGTACAATGTGTACACTCCATTCAGGTCTCCACATGGCTCCCATCCGGTAATCTGGCGTGGGATCCATTGTGCTGTGATAAAATTCAGCATGTTTCCTTATCACAGTGTACCGCCCACTGCGTTGTAATGTGAACGGGACACATAGAAAACAATTGTTGTTTTCTATGTGTCCGAGCATTAATCTGGTGCGGTGAACGGACCCTTACTGTCAAGCAGCGGCGTCCCGAGGCCAGGTGTCACCCCCACCATGACGTCATCGCGCATGCGCGGTCATCTTATTGATACTTGCCAGCGACCATCATGGTGATGGACGCCAGCAGAGAGAGGAGTGGACAGCCACCCGGCGGGATAAGGTATGCCGCCGGGTCCCCATCCTCTCTCTCGTAACTGTCGGGCTCTCGGTCCATGACCGAGTGCCTGACTTTTCAGAGGGGGTGACACCAAATGACTGTCAGGATTTTGGTGTCACCCAGGTGCGAGCTGCAGCCCCCTTGTGACGCCATTGCTGTCAAGGTTGTCAGGGCGCTTATTTCAGGTCTCAACCAAACTTTCAAGCCCTCAAGTGGCTAGTGTCATAGCATGTGCAGAACCATGGCAACTGCAATCGGCATAGAGGCTAAGATGGCAACTGCCTTGGCTATAAAGATAAGAGGTTGTAGTTCTGTTTAACTACCTCCCGGCCGGCCGTTGTGTATACACGTCCTGTTACATCCGCGCGCGCAGGAAATGCCCGTTATTTGGTCCCTCTGTGATAGCAATAAAGTTAAGTGAAAAAAAAATAGGAAAAAAATGTAAAGTTTCCCCCCAAATTTTTTTAACGTTACACATAAAAAAGAATTTAAAAAAAATTGCTTTTTTAAAAGTCCCCACCCCTACATACACGCATGCGTCAGGTGTGCATACCTGCGAAAACGACGATTGCGCCCATTACGCCGCACATGTTACATATAGCCGCGAATGTCAGAATAAGAGCAATAGTTCTAGGCCCATCAATCACTGATAACACTAAACTGATGAGCTGTAAAAGCTTTTAAAGCGTCGCCTATGGCCAATTTTGAGTATGCTAGTTTTTTACATATTACTCCAAGGTCAGCATCTACTATATCTGACACTTTGCGGTCTCATTCACACAGCGCGGCTTTTACCATTAATTTCATACTTTATATCTGACCACACAGATTTCAGCTGCTGCTTAACTTGATTAGAGTAGTGGCGCGAGGTTTCACATCATTGACATGTTTGGTGTCTATTTACCCGACGTGACCCTGTCTTTTATATTTTACCAAAAAAGTGGGTAATATTAGTTGTTTTATAACAATGTAAAAAAATACTTTGATTTTTCAACATTTTCAGTAATTTCTCCTGAATATGGTAAAAAATAAAACCCGCAGTGGTGATTAAATACCACCAAAAGAAAGCTCCATCTGTCCCCAAAAAATGGTATAAAATTCATTTCAGTACAGCGTTGCATGACGGAATAAATGTCAGTCAAAGTACCGCAGCGCTGAACACTGAAAAATGGCCTTGCCAGGAAGGGGGGCCAAACACCTGGTCTTCAAGCGGTTAAAGAAAAAAATCTTAACCATTGCACCAGGGCTACCCCCACACTGCAAGGGTTAAGTGTCTAGGATAAAAAAAAGTTATACTCACCCAACCTTGGATCTGGCCAGCTGTGACAGTGCTCCTTCTAACCAGTCTCCACCTTTGTTGCAGGGATGGTATGTCCCTCAGCATCTTCACGTCCAATACACTTGTATAGAATGTGATGACTCAAGGATCCTTAGAGGCTGGAAGGACCAGTCTAAGAAGAAGCTGGCTCCCGGGATAGGTTGTGTATAACTTTTTTTGTTTTTAACCTAGAAACAAACAAGCAGTTAACCCTTGCAGTGCGTGGGTAGCACCACTGCAAAGGTTCATAATTTTTTTCCCCCGGTGTTCTGCTTTTAAAAAAATTTGATAGAATTGTCTGAAAGATCAGTACAATAATTACATGTGCAAAACAATGAACAATTTACTCCAGCATGGAAGAGGTCTCATCTACCTTCACTTTCCTTATCGCTGATACTTCCTTATGAACAATAGCACTACAATAGCAATACAGAAAAAGTGTCACACATAAGAACTGTGCGTCCATGCCAACAACGCACACTACATACACACCGCCAGAGATGTGTTATTGTCACCTATTGTAATACACATCACTTCCATGTCCAGTGATCAGAGGAGAGTTCAGCGGCCGGAATCCTGCGGATCTCTCTCTGTTACAATCGATCCGACTGTTGTACAGCTAAACACTACACTTTTAAAACATTTTTTTTTTTACACCTAACTTTATTGCTATCCGACAGCCAGCCGTCGGATTGCTTGTATTTAAACAGCAATCACCTGCTGTTTAAAATGATACCCTGTGCATCTGAAGCCAAAGCTTTGCTTTTGTTTTGGATAGAGTGGAGAGGGATTAGAACATCTGTCTGGTTTTTATTGCTGTCTGTGTCCCTGGTAGGGAGATTCACCCTCTCTTTTTGTCCTGGTGACCGTCATCATTAAAAATGAAAGGAAATTCCAAATGTTGGGCTATCAGAACAGGAATGGGTGGGAAATCTTCCAACAAAATCTCCCCAATGGGTCACAGAGGGCAAATAAAGCTGATAGGGGTTATAATCCTCCCTTACTCTATCCAAAACTGAAAAAAAAAAAAAAGCTTTATCTTCAGTTCTACTTTAAGCCCTGATTCACACCTGAACGCTCTGCAGCTCAAAGCTCCAAAACAGTTTCCGTGCCAAGTACACTGGTCGGTATCACGTGCTTTGTTGTGCCAATGATTTTGAATGGTGCCGTCACACACTACCACAACAGATACATCGGAACAGGCCCAAATCCTACTCTGTACAGCAGTTATACTTAACATTCCGTTACTGTGCTGTCCACCCGGTTGCAGTTGTTTAGTAGATAGGATCTGATTAATCAAAGTGGACCTTTCAGTAAAATGCACAGTCTACTTATTAGGTTCAGGTCCACTACTCATGGAAAAAACACTGCTTCGGAATACTTGAGAAACGTAGCAGTGAAAAAAAATGTTTCAGTATATACCAGGGGGAGCAACTCCGACCTGTGCTTTAATTACAAATCACTTTACAATAAGGAAGACATTACAATCACAATACAGTTCAAGACAAGATGGTAAGGAGGGCCCTGCCCCTGAGGGCTTACAATCTAAAATGGAGGGCCAAGTGATACATGAGGAGGTAGCTGTGTGGAGGTGAATTGTTTGAGAATGTGATAGTTCAGTGGTTAGTTTGAGGTGGGATAGGCTTCCCTGAAGAGAGGAGTCTAAAGGCAGTCAGAGTAGGAGATAGACAGATAGGCTGGGGTAAAGCATTCCAGAGGATGGGAGAGACTCTAGAGAAGTCCTGGAGGCAAGCATGGGAGGAGTTGAAGAGGGAGCTGGAAAGCAGGAGGTCTTGGGAAGAGCGGAGGGGCGGTTAGGGTGATACTTTGAGACCAGGTTTGAGAAATAG